AATTATGCGGTATTTGCATAATATGAATGCATAGACTTCATTCATTAGTAACAACTACCACTGGTAAGAAATGTATGCAATTAAGAACAGTTTCTAGTTAAAGGTCAGCGTGTAAGTATGCAGGAATTGACGAATTTTAATTAATGATTAGTTATTTTTTATTTCAATTTTATTTGTTATCTGCACTTTGCTAATCAAGTGCGGGGAAATTGTATGGTTAGGTTGCACTTTCTGTTTTTTTTTTATTTTTGGTATCAATTCATTAATTTTAGCATTGCTATGCACTACGGTAAAAATAACACGCAACTATTTGTATGGTATGTACGAGTATTTACTTAATATCATTTTAGGTATTAATTCTACATAATAATCATACATACATATGAACTGTTTCTGGAAGGAAACTGACGGTTTTGAAATCGCATATTTTGGCATTCGCTTACTGCTTATTTATTGGCAAGTATATTTCTCCTTTGATTAATTTCATTTATTCTATATACGAGTAATTTATATTTGTGCTACATACTTTTTTAAAGTAGCTGATTTCTTTTTAGTTTTTGGTTGATAAAAAATTTCATAGCAATAAAAACAAATATCTCAATAATTTTAATATATATGTACAATAGTTTTTGAAAAACAGTGGTTCGGCGATTAGCGCTAATTTATGAATATAGCTACTGAATTAAACATAGCGAGATTAAAATTTTAAAGTCGAAATGTTATTGTTTATAATGTTATTTTCTTCTATATTGTTTGTTGCCAAAATACATCAACTGCTGGATTCGTGGCAATTGAAAGGAGAGTTTTTACCAGCGCTCGCAAGTTCGATGTATTATGAACACTTTTAGACAAACATATTAGTGTGCTGGCGTATTACAATATTGCCAACCAAAGAAATGATATTTCTAATGAAATCGAAACTGGTCTGGACCCAACAAATTTTATTCAAATCCAGAGAGATCAAATTAATAAAGTCTGTCTCTCGTTTTTTAGGCGGCGGCCTTTTCTTGTGTTTGTTTTAGCGGATACTTAAACCTGTCTAGAGTCAGATAGTATGCACTTAAATCGTCGTCCCTTATCTCAAGTTTAAATTTTCAACTAACGAACGGGCACAGGAAACGGGCTGTTACGTCAGGGTCTAGTCTGGGTAGTTACAACATTTAACCTGCTACAGACCGTAATTTGGCCTTTTTGCTTTCTGCTAGACTATCTTTCATTGTCCAAAGATTCGCTTTTTTAGAGGTCGCATTAAGCGATTATCAGGGACAATAGTGTTTGATATGACTATTCGCCAGTGCGAAATAACTGCAACAGCTGCGGACTGGGTACAAAACAACGATCAGACTCTATTAGTCGGGTGAACATGCGTTCTCAGACCCATCGTTGAGGTTTACTTGGAGAAATTTGTCTGCTCAGGGGATTTCATTGACTGGCATGCTTTGGTGTTTAGATACAAACGTAAAAGTTAAAACATCGAGAAAATGTCAGCTTGTTTAAAAACATTCTTGACGTGTTTTTTATATGATAAGCATATCTCTAGCAAGAAAATAGGGTTAGTGCAAAGTTTGTAATGCCTTATCGAAAGATTGTGATGTTAATTAATGAATTTCTTACACGTTATCCAAATATTGTACATTTCTTCATTTTATAACTACTTACACACACATCTTATCTAGTACAGATGTACATACATCTATATAATTAAAATCCGTCGTACCCTACTTCACTCTAAACACATTTTGGAATGTGTATAAATTCAGTCAAATTTGGTTTTGCTTTCAAGCGCTTTATGGACAATTTTTTAATTGATGTTTATTTTGCAAAATAATTTCTTGGACAATTTGCAATTTCTGTTCACAACTCTTAACTACTTAAATTAAATTTATAATTTAAAATTCTTGTCGTTTGAGCTTTAACTCTATTTCTTTTTATTCGTTATATATTCTTATGCAATTGGATGGAAACTTATTGCTGCGCTTTTCAATATATTAAAACAGGTTTAATTTTAAAAAAGCGCCACGGGGCATAAAACCAGTCAAAGACTTAAATTAGTTTTTAAAATATTACAACTAAAACTAAAAGTTGTACTTTGGAAATGGGCGTTGTGTGGGGGCAACTCTGTATATGGGCGGGCACTGGTATTTAATACTGCGCGTTTGTGCTTTCACTTTATTAGCTACTTGCTATGCTAGCAATGTTATCATCATACATACATATAAAGGGTGCTTTTGTTGGGAGATCAGCTCGAAGCCACAACCAGGCTAATTGATGATTACATTTTGATTTCTTCTTTTGTACCGTGATTTTCATTCAAGCGCACTTTTAGGTACTACGTTGATTATTGTTGTCACCAAGCAGATCTTCAATGGCGCCAGTTAGACGTCCTTTGCTCAGCGCATCTACCAGCATCCGCAAACGTTCCTCGCGCTCTGAATGGCGTCGCTCTAACGAAGAGACCTGTGTTTATGTAAGAAAAAAACAAACAATTGTAAACAAAACATAAGAAACCATTATTAAGATACAATTAACCCACAAAATTCCTGTTACATGTGAGCAAATTAAATTTCCACCATAAAATGACAACTATAATAGCCATTGATGCATTTAACCAGAAAAAAAAAATTATTTCGTAATACGCATTTATATGACAGAGCAACGACGCATTGATATTACGTGCCGGGGATGAATCCGAGCTTCGTAGAAAGAAGCGCAGCACAAGAAATTATGATTACGTAAAAGCAATTAGCTATGCTTATAAATTAAATGATAAATGAAGATACAAGCGAAAAAATGCGTAACGGCAAATAAATAGTTAACAACTGAATTAAAGTGGAAGGAAACAGCATAAATGGCAAAGCAAACATAAAAGTACCGCTTTAAAAGCCATAAAAAATGCAAAAGCACATACTACATATATACCTATGAACATATATAACAATCAAAAGCGGCAGTTAAAAAAGTACCAGTAAAGTGTTAAGAAAAAATTATATGGCAATTAAAGAGCAACAAAAATCATATAAACGCCAACAAAAACTGATAAATTAATTTTTAAGTACATTGTGGTTGGCAGTTATGTACACAATAACACTTGTTCGCATTTTTCTGATTCATTTTTCATTGTATGACTTTTGGCAAAATGTTGCATTTCATAGGACGTTTTTGTTTTTTTGTGATTTGATTTCTATGCTTTTTTTTGCATTCAGACATGCGCACATGCAGATCGTCTTTTGGTCAACTTCTGTTTCTTCTTTACCGCAAAGGGGCCAGAGTTGCTGCTACGGCAGCTTTCAATCTCTTCTTCAAATCCCGTTTGCATTTGATTGTGGTTGTTTCTATCATTATCGACTATACCACCACCACCACCACCACTACTAGTATTCGTCCCACTCACCTTAGCTTTCAACGCATAGTAGTCGACTGGTAATTTGCGGCGCTTTTGTGTGGCAAACGCTTCGTCGCGTTCATTTAGGCGCTGCTGCAAGACACGCACCGTTTCATGACACGAGGCCAACTCACGTTCATGGGCACTTTGTAGCGTTTTCAACTATATAATTAAAGTGACAAAAAAATGAGGAAAATACAGATGTTAATATGTAGATAGGTTAAAAAATTGTTAATAAGGTCTAAAAAGATATGTATGTATGTATGTATTTGTGTACATATGTAAATCACGCTTATGCTGTACTTACATCGCTTAAACGCTTATCATGTAGCACTTTATAGTCCGACTCAAGTAGCTTAAGCTTATTTTGCGCTTCCCGCAACGCTTGACTCTCCGTGGTGGCTGGCATTTGTTCGCTATGCGCTTGGCTATAATGCTGTGAATCGTAGCTGCGTCGTGACATGCCTAGGCAAGTATAGCTGTTCCACTGTGACTTATCCGATTTAAGTGCTGCATATGTATATGAAGAGAAGTGCAAGAAAAAGTGTTAAGTATTGTATAGTAGTATGCATTTATATATGCCCGTATATATGTTTAAATAAATATGTACAAGGGCTAATATGAGCTCAATATTTGCATCAGTTTTAAAGTGAAACTTCTTTAGCGCCGGTTGGTTGGTTGAGAGTAAATCAGCAAATTCAACGGAAATTGCACACGGATGTGGTTTTGGCTAAAACAATTGCTTCTTGAGTGTATGCACATGGTATTAATTTAACAAAAACATGCTAATAAAAGGTTAAAGAATAGCACTTAGAAAAAGACCAATACAAGAATGACAGTAAAGGTGAGTAGGTACATACATAGATGAAAAAAGGATAAAGGCAACGCTGAAAATAATAACCAAAAACGAAGAGAGTAAAGATAAAGGCAAAAATGTAGATCAAGGAAAATTTAAACACTTTACATATAAAAGTATAAGGGCAAAGATGAAGGGGAATATGTATGTAGATGAAGAAAATGATAAACATAAAAGTAAAAACAAAGATAAATATAAAGAAAAAGAGGAGGATGAGGATACCGATAAAAGTAAAGATGAAGATAGAGGAAGAAAGATTGAAATAAAGGTAATTATAGAGCGAAGGAAATAGATAGAGACACAGTGACTTAATCTGGGAACTATTTCCGGATTTTAGACATTTTCGGGTTTCTCGGATGTTATCGATATGACAATCGATATTTTGATCAGTTTTGTTACCGATTTTGTTATCGAAATATCTTTCGATATTGTTATCGATTTTGCTATCGATATTTGTATAGAATTTGTTATCGATAATTTTATCGATTTTGTTATCGATATTTTCATACATTTTGTATCGATGTTTTTATCGATTTTGTTATCGATTATTTATCGATTTTGTTATCGATATTTTTTAATTGAATTTGTTAATGCTATTTTTATCGATTTTGTTATCGAATTTTTTATTGATATTTTTATCGATTTTGTTATCGATTTTGCTATCGATATTTTTATAATTTTGTTATAGACATTTTTGTCGATTTTGTTTCGATATTTCTATCGGTTTTGTTATCGGTTTCGGTACCAATATTAATACCGATTTTCTATCGATATTATTATCGAATTTGTTATGGGTTTTGTTATCGATATTTTTATCGGTTTTGTTATCGATATTTTGATGGATGTTAGTATCGATTTTGTTATCGGTAGAGTATAAAGATAAAAATGAAGATAAAGGAAAACAGAATAACATAAATGTAATTAGAACGAACAGGGTTAGAGGTAGGGATCTAGATAGAAAAAAGACAAAAAATTTAACCTTAAGCAAAAGCAGATGTATGTACATATATTGGTTATAAGTAAGACAAAATAGATACATATGTAACTTCACTTCTCCAGTGTGGCCCAGGTGCACTTACTTTTTTTTTAATTAAAAATCAATACACTTTCAAATTTTTTTTGAAGTTCTTAGGTATTAGGCGTCCGAAAGTTCCTTAATAAAATACGTCAGGAAATAATGTGCGTTTAAAATGCCAGCTTGGAATTAAAAAGTTTTTTTTTTTAATGAGCTACAATTTCAATCCAAAATTTTCGAACATCGAGTACAGGAACAACTGAAACTTCATTCTAAGCTGTTATGCGAACTGAAGAACTTAAAGAAACCACCTCGATATAGTAAAAGCTCCTTAAAGACATAGATAAATGCTTTTCTACAACTAAATCAATTCCGAATTTCGGTTAGGTATTGGAAAATTTCAGCAACTACATTTTACGACGCAATAAAACGCACACACGCACATTTTACGACGCAATAAAACGCACACTCTCATCAAAAGCGGCACAATTCAAAAATCAGACCCCTTAATATACCTGCTTTTGGAGCGTACAAATTCAACGCTAAAAATGGTAACAGTATAAGTAGTTCTCTATTTAAAGAATATAATCATTAGGCATATGACTTTTTTTAAGATTTTATATACCTATGAGTAGAAAATGAGAACTGATGAATAACCAACAGAAGTAATGTTTTTGTCAAACTTTTGTACAAAAAGGTCACGTAACGAACTCCGAGGAAGTATAGTGGTACTGAAAAAAAACATACAAATAAATATGTATGTATATGGAAAATTTCCTGCCAACCGATTTATGACTGCGATCGAAAATTGGTTTCTTTCGGTTGAAAGATCGTTAAAAAGTATTTTTTATGTTAACTAAGAGAGTAATTCTAGCAAATAAACTGACTATTGTCTTTCGAAAGACAAGAATTTTCGTAAGAAAATTGTCAATTCTGGCAACCATTTTGAAAGCACTTTTCTGCCTTCCGAAAGACTAATTGAAAGATTTGCTTTCAGCAATAACTTTTCCAAAATTTAAATTAAAGAAATCCAAAATTTTTTTCTTTTTAAAACAATAAAAACTAAAAATTAAAAAAATAATTAACTTAAAATTAAAAAAAATTTCATTAAAAAAGATAATATAAATAAAAAGAATGTAAAAATTAAATGTCATACAAAAAAATTGTTTTCTTCCTAAACCACTAAAATCTAAAAATTAAAAATTAAAAGCCAAAAAATAAATAATTAAAATAATAAAATAAGTTCCTCGAACAATAACATTTAAAGAAAATTAAATAACATTTAAAAAAATCATTTATCTTAATAATTTAATAAAATAAAAGAAAAATAAATAAAAA